GAAGCTGGACTGGGAGGTAGGACGTTGGGCAAAGCTGCGTGGGCCGAGCTCGACAGCTCTTACTGAACTACTTCAAATCGAAGGTGTAAGTCCGTTCAATCACCGATGACGGCTAGTTTTAATCCTGCTACCTGTTAATAGGTCCGGGATTCACTGGGATTATCATATAAAGATGCCGACTCCTTAAATAAGATTGTTGATGCCTTACCTGGGCGTCCTAAGTTTCGACGAGAGGAGGTCATCGTAGCGGAAGAAGCCTTTGAAGTCTATCATCGTGATGTACTGGAGTGTATACAGGCACTCTACGGTGATCCTGAGTTCGCGGCGGACTTGATCTTTGCGCCAGAGAGGCACTACTCCGATCCAGACATGACGATCCGGATGTATTCGGATATGCACACTGGTAAATGGTGGTGGGCGACGCAGGTAAGCCAGGAAGCACTACTACATGTGACGTCTGTGAGCGGATGATTAACACCACTCTCTAGAAGGCAATTGAGCAGGATCAACCTGGTGCTACGATTGTCCCTGTGATCATCTCGTCTGATAAGACACAGGTGACGTTATTTGGAAACAAGTCCGCATATCCCATCTATATGACCATTGGCAACCTACCAAAGGAAATACGGCGGAAACCATCACGAGGTGGCCACATACTTTTGGGATACCTGCCAACCACCAGGCTTGATCATATCACCAATAAGGCCGCCCGACGACGGACCCTCGCCAACCTCTTTCACTCATGTGTACAACGTATTCTCCATCCTCTAAAGAAGGCTGGCGAAGTAGGCATAGTGATGGCGAGCGGCGATGGGGTTCGCCGACGGGTGCATCCTTTGTTCGCGACGTTCGTCGGTGACTACCCAGAGCAACTCTTGGTGACGGGCGTCAAGACGGGGCAGTGTCCGAGATGTCCAGTCCCGCATGACCAGTTAGGAGAATGCAACTCCGAAGACCCGTATGAGTTTCGGGATATGGATGCTGTACTGGACGCTCTCGCAAGCATCGCCGACGGGCCAACAGCATTTATCAAAGCTTGTGCGCACGCAGGGATCAAGCCGATCCAGCACCCGTTTTGGGAAGGGCTCCCTTATGTGAATATATTCCAGTCAATCACGCCGGACATCTTACACCAGCTCTATCAAGGCGTGATGAAGCATTTCATATCATGGGTTACAAAAGCTTGCGGGGCAGCAGAGGTCGACGCTCGCTGTCGCCGATTTCCACCTAATCATCACATACGGCTGTTCATGAAGGGTATCAGTACCCTGTCGAAGGTCACTGGTCGGGAACACGCCCAAATGTGTCAACTTCTCCTTGGCTTTGTAACTGATATACGGCTTCCAAATCATCTTTCGTCAGCCCGCCTGGTGCGAGCCACACGTGCCATACTTGATTTCTGTTTTCTCGCACAATATCCAGTGCACACGGATGATACTCTCCGACTTCTCGAAGACGCATTGCACCGTTTCCACGACAATAAACAGATCTTTGTTGACTTAGGGATCCGGTTCGACTTCAATATACCGAAACTGCATGCCCTCCTCCATTATCTCATCTCCATCAAGATATTCGGCACTACTGACAACTACAATACAGAATATACGGAGCGCCTGCACATAGATTTTGCGAAGGATGCTTATCGCGCTACGAATCATAAAGATGAATATCCCCAAATGACTAGGTGGCTTGAACGCCGCGAGAAGGTTCTGCGGCACGAGAAGTACATCAACTGGCGTCTTGCAGGCTGCCCAGCGCCAATGCCGAAGTCAAGAGGAACCATGGACACCGGGAATCATATACGTATGACGAGACATCCTACCCTGAAGGCCGTACCTTTATCGGAGGTCCGCAGCGACTATGGTGCAACATACTTCGAAGCGGCTCTCGCCCGCTTTGTGGCCCAATACCACCAGCCACATTTGACGCGCGCTCAGATTGAGGATGCTGCAAACCGCATGTCCATCCGGTTCCAAACCATTCCCGTCTTCCACAAGATAAAGTTTCGAAACCGGGATCCGTTCGCACGTACTGCAGAATTTGATACATCCGATGCAGTGCATGCAAAGCCCATCCGTCAAGACTCGCGCGGGCGCGATGTTCCTGCGCGGTTTGATACAGTTCTCGTTAATATGGGGACTTCTGGAAATGCCAACTCGCGGTTGCAAGGTGAGTCTTATATCCCTGCCTATGCTGTCCATTTGACGTTGCAACTCTACAACAGGTTTTCGAGTAGCGCAAGTGCGCGTAGTCTTCGCTTTACCGCCTCGCGCCGTCGCGACCTTATTCAAGCGACCACCGCCGGATCACCTGGCATACGTCGAATGGTTCTCGGCTTTCACTGCGGAACCAGACCGTAACTCGGGGATGTACAGGGTTGTCCGCTCAATTCAGAATGGGGAACGCTTGGCGAGTATTATACCAGTTTCTCAGATTGAACGTAGTGTACATCTCTTGCCTAAGTTTGGTCCTGTCGTCCCTCGGGACTGGACAAGCAGCACTGTCTTAGATTTGGCGGCAGCATTCTTTGTAAACCCATTCCTAGACCGGCACACGTTTGCTACATTTGTCTAAACAACCCTGCATTCATGTATGTCGTTTGATCAACATAGGACCTTTTTGACTATGTGCTAAAATCGGACAGATCAATATAATGACATCCCGCATGCGCTTGGGTTGACTACAGGGGGTGACGTGTTCGAAAATAAAGCTACATACGGACTCGAACATATGACCCCT